GATGGCACCACACCAACCACACATTCGTAAGGGATAGTATGGTGCTTCAAAATATTTTTTTGCTGCAGCTCTGATACTGGCTACATTGTGCAAATCTGCTCCTCGATCATTTGCCCAAGGACATTTTCTTTTATTATGATCTAACGCACCACAGTATGTACATGATCTTCCTTCGGGAGGTCTATTTCTAACGATTTTATGTGATTGCCACGGTACTAAAGTTTTTCCCATTTGATTTAATACCACATCACCATCATCGTAAAATGCTGTATTGATACCAAATCGTCTTGGGCATGTGTTTCTGTTATGTCCTTTTTTTCGACAGATTCTACATAAACTATCGACCAGAGTTGTTAATGATAGTAATATCAGAAATATGATTAAAAAAATTGTTTTTTTGCGCGACATCCTTTATTAGATGCGATATGTGACGTGCTGCCACAATTACCGCAATGTCTTAGTTTTTGGTGTTGTTGTAATCTAGGACAGGGATTTCTATTACAGGTGTTTTTATTATGACCGATTAAACCACAACAACCACAAGCAGCTAAAATGTTTTTAATTATCAAGAGAAAAACAAGAAAAGTGATAAATTTAAATTGCATAGTTTTTATATTTATTAATAATATGTTTAATATATATATTTAATTCTTGTTTACAAAAGTTATCAAATAATAATTTTTCATGTTCTTTTTGAATTCTTTTTAACCTGGTTTTTTCTTCTTCTTTTAAATAAACTTCAGAGATGAGACTGAACGAATGGTAAGCCTTTTCCTCATCTAATAATATTTTTTTGTTATGTTTATTTTTAATGTAAAAATCATTATAGATTAAATCTAAATAATCTATAGTTAGATTTTTCACATTATCATTATCGATATTTTTATTAATTTGTTTTTTCCATTTGTCAAATAGTTGTTTTTTATTAAGTTTTTTCATTTGTATGTTTTGAAATTTTCAGAGTGTTTCTGTATCAAGTTTAATAAAAAAAATAAATCAAAATTACTGTTATGTTTGATTTTATAGTTGTTTACGATATTTTTTAAGATGTTTAAAATTTCTTGGTTGTTTTTTATATAATTTTCATGGTATTTGATGATCTGTTCCCAATTATCTGACAATTCATTAAAAATTTCTGAATCTTTGTAATTGTCATTTTTTTCTAACCATTTTTTTCGTTTTTCTAATATTTTTTTTATGCTGCTGTCACTTTCTTGATCCATTCAATATTTTCTTTAAGTAAAGATCTATTTTCTCCTGTAAGAGGAAAGGGAATTGTTTGTTGGGCGTGGACTTTCAATCTTTCTATTGAATCAGGTAAGTTGTTAGGCATGGGATCTTTAATTTTATACAATTCCCATATTTCTTTAACAAGATCGAGAGTGTGAGTATCGGTTTCTTGTTGAAATTTACGTCCATTAATCAAACCCCAAAAATCATCCATAATTGTATCAAAAGTATCAGCTTTGCCTCTATAATCTCGTCTTTGTATAAGCTATTCTTTTATTTTTGTAACACGGTCTTCTTTAATTTCTACTTTTTCATACGGAAGTCTATCATCTTCGTCTGGAACAACAGGCGGAACAACAGGATTAGACATTTTGTAATTTTTTTTTCCTGATTTCTTGTAAATCTGAGGTTTTTTTTCCTTTTAAATATTTATTATCTAAATATTTAATACTTCGATCAAATTCACCCCAATCTTTAAAATCTTCTTTATTTGTAGAAGCATTCATTCTATTTATAATAACTTGGTAATACACGATACTGTTTTCTTCATGTATGGATATGATTTTATTAATATATTCTTTCATTTCTTGAGTGTGAAATGATGATGTTCTATCAAAAGTTTTTTCATCATTTAATTTAAATTTAACAAAATTCAAATGGATCTCAAAATTTCTTAGGTAAAATTTTCCATCACGCGTTTTTGCATCGATGCTTGTTTGTTCGTCTTTTAATGAATTAATTTGAAGTTGTTGATTAGTTTTACTGTAAAATTTGTTTAAAACGATGATTGAATTATCTAAAAATGTATTAACAATTTTGTCTAAAGATATTTTTTTATCTTTTAACAAATGTTCATTTTTACCCAAAGCTAAAACATTTTCAGTCAATTTACCATGACCGTACGAATCAATGATAAAATCTTCAAGATTCTTAATGTTGTTGATTTCATTTAAAACTTTATTGTAAATAATATCAATAATTTCACTGATTCTTCTAGGTATTTCTTTATCATAAAAAGCTAATTTTTGATTCGGGGTTAAAATCGTATCTGATCCGATTTCATTTGTTCTTATTTTATTCAATTCTTCCAAGGTAAAGATTCTGTTAATTCGTTCAACATACAACATGTAATGATCAATTAATTTCAATTCTTTGTTGATCAAGTCTGTTAAGATTTTAGAATCGTTTTCATACAAGTTATTAAATTTATTCTTGTAATTTTCAAATTTTTTCTTAATTTCTCTTGTCCATTCGTTATTTAATTGGATTTCATTTAGATATTTTAAGAAATCAAGTCTCTTTTGATGAGATTCTTTTAATTCCTGTTTAAGATCATTTGGAAAGTTTGATTTTAATCTTTCGTGATTTTTATAATCAGGAATCTCGTATTCTTTTAGGTTTTCAATTTCCTTGTTTAATTTAACAAATATCAAAAGATGTTCTAATCGTTCTATTCGAAGTTAATGAAGTGATTTTTTATTTTTTTCACTTAAACATGAATCTTTATGTTCAATTTTTTTGTAGATTGTATTATCTGGTTCTAAATCAGATGGAATACGTGTTTTAGTAATTGAAATCTTAATATTTTCCAATATCTTAATGCTTTGATTTAATTTTGTTTGTTTTTCATTTTCTAATTTTAATAAAAGGTCTTTTGGAAAGTTAGCATCAAA